AACTGACTTCCTCAAACTCACTCAAGAAGTCTATAGCAGAGTTGCAAAGTGAACCAAAAACTCAAGAATCCGAGGGCACCTATACACATGCTGGATGGCTGCCAATTAGCATGCATCAGAGCAGACTTGATTAATTGAATCTGTTGGAGCTTCCATGTCATGTCTATTCAGTGTTTCTGAGCTTCAAAATGGCAGTGGGCAGGCAAGTTTCTTTGGGTAGATGTGATACCTTTTTGTGACTACCGGGTCTCGAACATCTGGTGATGTGCGGCCTTGGTCTGAGTGGCCGGTGATGTGCACTCTGCAGTCTCCAGTAAACTGTCGAGTAGGTGTTTGTTCTCCAAGTGGCCGCCCCCAATCTCGCCTGCCATGACTTTGAATGTTTCCCCAGTGGTGGGGTGACTACTCGGGGCTCCTCTGCAGTGTGAGATCTGTCCAGCAGTCACCTGCAGGGCTCCACGTCCCCTACACTTTGACCTTATGCCACCTTGATGGGTCACAGGGCCTTCCTGGCCACACTCCCACTCTTGTTGAATTGTGGCGGCCTTGCTAGCCTCACTCACGTCCAGGGCACAGGCTCCAGAGGCAGATTCGATCAGTTGGCCTAGGGTTACTTGCAGCCTGTAATCCCCCAACCTCGAAACCCCTTCCTTCCAAGGTATGACTCCTGGCTAGGGCTTTAAACAAAAAGGCAAAACTCCTAAAAGCTCTGCAGCAGCTATCTCAGCTGCGTCGCCTACTTCTACCTCTCAACCCCTCCAAATGGGGAAACACAAAGGAAAACACAAAATAACAATCTACCCTGTTGTGAGGGATTAGTGCAGCCCCTCCCTAGACCCTACGTTGGGGTGCTAGGTGCCTTACTCCCTAAACCTTTCCAAGGTATGACCCCTACACGAGACCAGATACTCGTGGCCCCTCGCTCAGGTCGTCGCTCCTTCTTTATCCGGCTCTTACCAGGATATGGCCCCCTCCTCTTCTCCCTCTTCAGTGGCATCACTATTTAGGTGCCTTGCAGTCCCTCCGTGTACGCCCGATTGCTCCTCACCCCCAGGTGTCCCTTCACAGGTCTTCACGCTGCTCCTGCTTGATGCCTCTCGGAGGGGAAGTTTCCTCCGCCTCCCAAATGTCTCTGATGTTCCCTCCGGTGTCGATCGGCATGTCCACCTCTCTGTTCCCTCCGCTATTACTGCCTCTGCCAGCTGCCAGAGCTTCCTCCGGCTCATCCTTCGCTCTGACAAGCTGTTCCTCGCAGTTGCCACCGTGGTTGGCACCAGGAGCCTCCTCTGGCTCCTCACTTGCCCAGACAGGCTGTCCCCTTGTCTCCCTGAGGGACTCCCAAGCAGCACTCTGTGGTGGTGTCCTCCTCGGGTCTGCTCCCTCTCCCCCTCTTCACTGGTGTTTTGTTTTATTCCCACCAGCCGGTGATTGCCAATGACGTCACTGGCTGGCCTTAGCTGTATGAAGACGCGGCTGAAGAGCTGCACGGTTTTCTTTCCTTGCTCCAGCTGTGCCGCAGTTCCTGTTGTGGGTAAGTAGTTTCTTTGGTTTATTTTTATGTTTATTTTCTTTTCTTCGTGGGGCTTTCGTTCCCCGGTTTACCCCTTTTTGGTTCGGGGTCCTTCCTCCCACTCTCTCCAGGGACACTTCTATAAGACCAACCGAGTAGCTGGAAAAAAATTCTTTGCAAGCTTTTGGGCACAAGCATGGTAGATCCGTGGTGTTGCACCACTCCTGGAGCAGTGGCAGCAGGGCTCAGGGTGCAAGGTCCAGCATGCATCAGCGGCCACCTCCTCCCCACACACAGATCAGGGGGCAAGTGCAGCAGCAGGAACGCAGCAGCAGGGGGCACAGCAGGGCACAGAGGGGGATCATCCCACTCACCTAACATGGTCCCAGTGGCAAGGGGCACAGTTCAAACCAGCAGCGGGACACCTGTGGCGTTGTGCTGTGCCCAGAGCAGCTGCAGCTCTCTATCTCAGGGGGGGCTGAGTACATGCATGAATTGCAATCAACTGGTTGGTGACTACTGCCTTAAACCAACACGGCTACAAACAAAAACCCTGCAAAATAGCAGTGGGGGCACTTGAACTAAAGCTTATCAAAAGAGCCTTAGTTAAAGTGCCCCTGCTGCTATTTTGGAGCACAGGACACTGAATACATGTGATGCTGCAGGCACTTTAATTAAAGCTGCTCTAATTAAAGCACCTCCCCACTCCACCCGAGAGCACATGCATAGATGCCCTTAGTCTAGAGCCTTAACCAAAAGGTTATCCTTTCCTTCAGTGTGTTTACATTGCTTCTATGGCCTGAGCTGTACTGTCTTCTCTAATGCCCTTAGACTTTACTACAGGAGCTGGTCAGGCACAGTTTGTGTTATGATGTAAAAAGGGTAATTTTCTCCCATTTTATATTCCACAAATCACACTATCAAATGTTGTACACAATTGCAGCATTCCCACGGCCATCAGCCCCTCTCAGAAATATCAGAGGCCCGCTTCTGTAGCAGTGACAGCTTCAGGTCTTTCTGGTTTAGTGTCACCTCCTCCTGCACCAAATCATTTCAGCTTCCATAATAGTAACCCCACTGTAGGAAGCAACCCACTTTAAGCTCTGCAAAGGAACAAATGGTGTAGAACTGATCAGGAGACTGACCCAAGCTGCACAATTTCAATCCAATCTACAACTTTTCCTCTCCTGGGAGAAGAAAGCCAGAGATTTGCTCTGTTATTAAGAGAAAAGAACCAAACACAAAGATTGGGTCTAGGCTCCAAAGTACTGGTACCCAGGGTTTGGAGCCCATCTCCTAGGGCTAGGGACAGACATTACACATAAACCAGTTTAAGTGATCAGAAACTGGCTTAAACCTGTAACAGAACATAAGTTCAGTGCATATAAACCAGTTTCAAAATGGCTGAAACTGGTTTAAGATAAACCTGGTTGAATGTAGTATCAGACTTAACGGATTTGGGTCAAACTGGTTTATGCAATGTCTGTTCCATACCCCTTCCTGGTTCAAGTTAAATCAGAGTCCCTCAGCATCCAAGATGCTTTGCAGTCTTGGGTGGGGCTCTCTGCTCCAGAGCAGGGCTGGCCCCTCCCTCTGCTCCCTAGCCAGAGCTCCAGCAGAGACTGCAGGCATAGAAGGGTCTGCCTGGCTTCCCCTTGTCCCACCCTCTACTTGATGATCACTGCTTAAGCAGGGGTCCCCCTATCCCTTCCTCCCATCTCCCACAGCCCCACATACCCTAGGCACATGGTACGCAAGCTAATGTGCGTCTCCAATTTCACTGGGTCAGACAGACAGAGGAATGTCCACTTAGGGCTTTTTGGAGCTATTCAACAGGTCAGCTGGTAATGTCCCTAGGTTCCTTCCTTGGAAAAAACTATTTAAGAAGAGTTTGAACTAATCAGAGAGGCTCTTGTTTTGTTGATGGGCTGATAAACTCTGTGTTATTAGCCCCCTGCTGGCTCCCTCACAGCAGACAGTATGAAGAAGCAGGGAAATGGAGATTGAAAAGCTCAGTATCATCAACAAATGCATGCACTGCACACACACACCCCTTTGCCTCATAATGCTAGCCAAGGGCTGGGTTCTGGCAACACTCCCACCCCTTGAACAGCATGCGGGGAAAAGGCTGGGACAGTGTTGGTTAGGGTGGGGGTTTAAAGTCCTCCCTAATAGGAGCATCCTGCCAGGGCTCAGTACTGAAAAAAGGAAGGAAGAGTTGCTGTAGCGCCCCCTGGCTTCTAGCCTGAGCCACAGTAGGCACGTGCCTGCATTTCCTCAGTCCAGAGGGAATGTCTGTGCAGTTGCAAACCGATTCAACCTAGGCAGGTTAGACTAACCTGCAAAGACTGAATCAATTCAGGCTTTTTAAACGTCTATCCCTAGCCTAGTTGTCATAGCCTTCATCATGATGGCTTCCCCACCTTGCCTCTTGCCCTAGGTAAATCCCACTGGCTGCTGGAAAAAGCCCAGTTATAAATGGGTTAGGGGTTTTGTAATTTATATCACTGGTTTTCTTTCCTTCCCCTGGTTCAGGTTAACACTTTCTCAATGCCACCTCCCCACAGAAAGAGAGAAAGGAGAAAAAAATGAGTTGTGAAGTAAGTGTAGCTCAGTCAGGCATAGCAGATTCCCTAGGAGAAAACTCTAAAAGGAAATGCAAGTTCCTTCTGCAGCAGCTTAAGTGGAGAGAAGACAGAGAGTTCAAACACTTCAAGGTGTTTACCTCTGCAATGTTTGAAGTGCTACAGCTTCTCCAGTGGAGAAAAGCTGTGCACAGTTCCTTTAACCAGAGCCAGCAAAGCAGCATTTGCTCCATATTGCCACAGGGAGAAAAGCCAATCTAAAAGCATCCTTTAAAATTTGCCTGTGCTCAGCAGATTGACACCATTGTTCAGAGCAGTAGCATGCAGCTTTGAAGCACTACAGGGCCTTTACATTGCTGAATGGGCTTACGGAGAGATGCCATGTAATTGCAGCAAGGTGTTCTGATGCTGCATTACCTTGACTTGCTATCACTGTTTGCTGATGCAGTATAACAACAAGGATATCACAGTGTTGGGGAGCCAGGCTAGGACTATTTGTGTCCCCCTGAAACTCAATTCTAAATAACTCTTCTCCATCCTTGTTCCCTTTCTGGATGCAAGGACAAGAGAAGAAAAGGTGAAAACTATGCAAGGCTTCAATGCATTTGCACTGCCATCCCTAGACTGCAGGGTCTGATGGTCTGCTCCTAGCACCTGGCAGAGTAAGAACACCTCTGTTCGTATAAACTGATACCCTGATGACTGCATTAAGGGACTGAACGGACACAGAATGAAAGTGGCTGATTTAGACTTAGCCTGCTATTTGCAGCCCGGTGCTCTTTGGAAGCTGAGAGGATCAAAACTAAGGGTAGCAAAGTTTGGTCATCCCATGAGATGTTTCACTGTTTTGAACATTTTCCTAATTCTGAAGCAAGATAAAAAAGTGAAATCTCAATTTTTTTCAGAAACTGGAAGTTTCCAAAACAGTGTGAATCAGGTCAGTATACATCCCAGAATAACAGAAATCCAGGCTTGGACTGGCCCTCAAGAGCTCATCTAGACTGACGCCCTTCCCTGAGGCAGAATCATGGTTACTTAGAACATTTAGAATGCCGACAAGTTTAGTTCCAGGTTTGATCTTTGTTAATAACAATTACATTTTCAAATAACAAAATGGAGATTGCACCCAAGACTGCTAAAGGAACTGTCAGTCACCATAGCGTGGCCACTGGCAAGGATAGTTGAGAATTCGTGGCACTCAGGCAAAGTACCTGAAGATTGGAAGAGGGCCAATGGGGTGCCTATCTTCAAGAAAGGGAGGAAGGAAGATCCAGGAAACTACAGGCCAATCAGCTTCACTTCAATCCCTGGAAAGATCTTGGAAAAAATTATCAAAGGAACCATTATCGATAGGCTAACAGAAGGCAACGTTCTGATGGATAGCCAGCATGGGTTTGTTGAAGGCAGGTCTTGCCTGACCAATCTCATTTCCTTCTATGACTAGGTGGTACATCACCTGGACAAAGAAGAAGAAGTTGATATCATATATTTGGACTTTAAAAAAGCCTTTGACCTGGTGTCCCATGATTTCCACACTTATAGGCTTAGCAGTGCTACACTCACTAGCACCATGACCAAAAGAGACTTGGGAGTCGTGGTTGACCACAGGATAAACACAAGCCACCAATGCAATACCACAGCCAGCAAAGCAAACAAAAGTCTGGCTTGCATCTACCGATGCATCTCAAACAAGACCCAGGAAATCAGCTTCCCACTGTACTTGGCCTTGGTGAAGCTGCAGCTGGAGTACTGCATCCAATTATGGGCTCCACAATTCAGAAAGGATGTGGAGAAGCTTGAAAGAGTCCAGAGTAGAGC